CCCCCCCGGGGGGCCCCCCCCCCCCCCCCCCGTCTCCTCCTCTGCTGCTCAGATCCATTTTAAAGAGACACCAACTCACTGGAGGAGCGATGTAAAATAAACTGACTTCAGATCAGCTTCTGTTTCCTGTCGTCATCACAAACTCTCCTGCAGCTCAACGTGAAACTCAGGTTTTCATGTCACATGTCTGATCAGACCAACCAGAGCGTCCTGACGTCCACTTCCTGTTTCCCTCTCTGCTGTCAGTCTGTGTGATGAAGGCAAAAACATGTATTTATGGAAAAAAGAATAAATTAAAAGTTTAAATAATGAGATCAGGTGGAAGTTTTTTTCTTCGACATGAACACTGAACGTTTGATATTTACACTCCGGCGGCGGCGACAGTCAGACCAGCAGCCATGNATGTCACATGTCTGATCAGACCAACCAGAGCGTCCTGACGTCCACTTCCTGTTTCCCTCTCTGCTGTCAGTCTGTGTGATGAAGGCAAAAACATGTATTTATGGAAAAAAGAATAAATTAAAAGTTTAAATAATGAGATCAGGTGGAAGTTTTTTTCTTCGACATGAACACTGAACGTTTGATATTTACACTCCGGCGGCGGCGACAGTCAGAGCAGCAGCCATGTTGTTTTCAGTTTGTCCATCCGTCCGTCTCATTCTCGTGGACGTGATATCTCAGTAACACCTTGAGAGAATTTCTTCAAACTTTGTAAAAACATTCACTTAGACTCAAGGATGAACTGATTAGATTTGGGTGGTCAAGGGTCAAAGGTCAGTACTCAAGACTTCACACAGACATTATGACAAAATTTCACACAAATGGTTAATATTTGACCACGGGAAGGTGACTCTAGTTTTACAGTAAAATTGTTTGTGTTCGGCAGCTTCTGTTAGAAACTACATGAAAAGTGACGTGTGGTTGTGGATCAGCTGTGAAACCCTGATGTGGTGAAATAAACATGAAACGGTGTGTTTTATGAATTAGAAGTTCGTTGACCTCCGACTCCGGTATTTTACTCTCACCTTTCTTCTCCCGCAGTTTGAACATGAACAGAATCTCAGTAAACGTTTCTTACATCACTTTACTGATGAGAGCTCTGAGCTAATCAATACCTGATAATCAACAACACTGATAAGATTTCACTCGGATTAGACAGAAAGTTCTGAGTCGTGCAGGTCGAGGTTCTGGACCGAAGAATCGAAGGAACCTCCTGGATGAGAGGTGAAATGTAGAACCAAGTCCAATTTCATTTTTACTGGATGAATTTCAAATTGATAAAAAAAAATCTTTACAGGTAAAATCCAGATGTTGGTCAAACAAAATGTTGATTAGATTTTAAATAAAATGTAAACGATGAATTAAGATTTTAAATCGTTAACTGAACTTTCTCTGAGCTGGTTTTTCTTTTTATTATATGTGAACTATTTTATTGTTATTGTATACAATATATGTACAGCTGAGACCAGATCCTGCACCTGGACCTGGACCCTCCACCCACTGATAAGATGAACCATAAACCTTTGAGCAGCAGATGATAAACGTCACCATCACTTGGCTTTATGGATTTGTTTTCTACAGCTGAAACTCGAAACCACGAGGTGAGGACAGATCCAGATCAGATCAGAGACAGTTCTCAGCTGATTTTACTCCTTCGTTCAGGATCAACGACAGGAAATACAGAACACAAACAGTTCAAGAAGTTTCCTGCGGGTTCCTGGAGTTCTTGTAGGTTTCAGTGGGTCTGGTCGATCCATCAGTGTGGGGGTCTGGAGTTCTGATCTGGTGGACAGAGGGTGGACAAAACCAGGATGAAGAGGGGGACCCGGGCTGGTCTGACAGGTCTGCAGAATCCTGGACTGGAGCTGGAGATGACTGAAAGCATCAACACGATCCAGGTGAGTCTAAGCCAGAACCAGACTCACAAACTCTTGAAAATGTTTTGAACAGTAAAGATTAAAAAAAACTTTATTTTGTAAATCACAGAAGAAAAGTAAACGGTCTTTTTGGTGGTCACAGTAAACCCCACCCATCTGCCTCACCCAGGAGCGTAAAACAAACACCATCCTGTCCACTTTCACTTCTGAGAGCCAATAAAATCACAAACAGCTCATAATGAGATCCTGGAAAACATTTGACCATCACACTGGTTTTACTGGTTTACTGGTCTCAGGTGTCTTCACCCTGAGACGGGTGTCCTCAGGTCTCTGTTTGTCTCCGTTCATCTTCAGGTCTCTGGTTGTCCTCAGGTCTCGGGATGTCCTCAGGGGTCCAGGTCCCCGGTGACGGCGGCAGTGAAAGCTGCAGCTCGGTGGGCGTCGTACTCCTGCGGCCGCCGGAAGCAGAGAAAAAGAAAAGTGACAGGTAAGTCCAGGTGGTCTTCATCAGTCCCCTCAGCAGATCTGGATTTGTTGAAGTCTTAATGACCTGACTGATGTTCAGGAGTTGAGCCGGAGACCAAGTACAGAGGTCTGGCCGAGGATGATGAAGGTGATGAAGAGCAGAGAGATGAAACCGACACTTCAAATAAAAACCAGCAGCTGAACAGAAACCTGCTCGATCACCTCAGACACCTGGCGGCAACCAACCAGGACACTGACCAGGTAACACAGACCAGGTGTCATATTAAAACAGGTGTCATATACAATAAATTCACCTGTATGTTTGTTCTTTGTGTGTGTGTTCAGGTGGACCTCGGGTTGCTGGATGACATGATCTCTGACGGAGCCGATCCAAACAGCTCAGACAGATACGGACAGACCGTCCTGCACGAGGTGTGACAGTAGAGTACACACAGTGGTTCTGCTCCTGGTGTGTTAGAACCCAGCAGGTTCTGTGGTTCCTCAGGTCTGGATAGAACCAGAGTCCAATTGTAAGCAGGTCTGTGATCAGGCTGTTTTCTTGGGACCTTGTGTGTCTGTTCAGATCTCCAGGGCGTGGAGTGTAGATGTGATGCGGTTCTTCCTGGACCGGGGTTCAGACCTCCACCGCCCGGATCAGTTTGGAGTCACAGCGCTGCACGTGGCCTCGGCGCTGGACTACCAGGACATGGTTCAGTTCCTGCTGGACCGGAAAGGTCTGTGTGGACGACTCCCAGAGGGAGTTCAAGGAACAGTCTGACATTTTCAGTCAGAGCACAGCTGCTGAGGCTCATGGGTACTGTAGTCACAGATGGGTACTGAACAAGTTTTTGGGTTCTGGCCCAGAGGAAACATTTTAACAACTCCTGACTTGAGTGAAGAGAGCAGTTCTTGTTTGTCAGCACCAGGATTTGATCGTCCACCTCTGGCAAAGACTCATGGGAGCTGAAGTTATTGAACATACAGGACAGATGAGATCTGCAGATCCTGATCAGTAGGTTTGTCTGTGTGTGTGTGTGCGTGTGTGTGTGTGTGTGTGCGTGTGTGTCTGTGTGTGTGTGTGTGTGTGTGTGTGTGTGTGTGTGTGTGTGTGTGTGTGTGTGTGTTGTCCACAGCTGATCCGGAGGCTCGGACTCTCCTGGACCAGCAGACTCCTCTTCACTATGCCGCCAAGAACGACGCTGTGGGTTCGATCAGACTGCTGCTGCAGGGCGGAGCCTCCATCAGCTGCACCGACTACAAGCAGAGAACGCCTCTGCAGCTCGCCGCCAACCTGGGTACCACTGACATCATCACTGACTCCATCACTGACACCACCACTGAATCCACTACTGACTCCATCACTGACATCAACACTGACATGCTTCTGACTCCATCACTGACGCAGCTCTGTCGGTGTGTTTTCAGAGCGCAGTGAGGCGGCTCGGGTTCTGTTGGAGCTCGGTGCAGAGGCAGGGATGAAGGACGCTGATGGACAGCTCTGTATAACTGCTCTGATTGGTCGGATGAGTCCAGTGGTAACAACGTCCTGCCCACTGACAGATAACAGGGCCGTGATTGGTTTGTGGGCTGTGATTTAATTTTAAATCAAATGTGTGTTATGTTGTGTTCAGGCTCAGCTGGCGCTCGGTCAGTTCCACGTGACCGACAGAATGACCAGGCAGCAGTACTACTACCTGAACCTGCTGGAACCAGAACCACACTCACCTGAGAAGCACCCGCAAGGTAACACTGCTGTCACCATGACTACAGTACAGACTCAGCTGTGTTGCTGTTGGTAACATGTTTGTATCTGTGTGTTGTTTTGTAGAGGTCGTGGTCGGAGAGCCTACGTCTCCTGTAAGTTTTTACCTGCAAACCTATACTGTGGATTTCACAGTGTACAGTGAAGTACACACCTGAGTGTTCACCTGTGCTGTGGTCACCTGTATGGTTCCTGTGTCTAACAGCTGCAGGTGGTGGTTCAGGAGGGAAAACTGGACCTGATCCTGAGTCCAGTCTTCCTTAAACTGATCCAGGTCAAATGGAAACTGTACGGCAGGTAAACCCTCTCTGATTGGTCTGATTTATTTTACATCATCACTCAGGTGAACAATCACTGCTCTGTCTGTCTGTCTACCTGTCTGTCAGGTTGGGGGCGTGGCTTCTCCTCATTCTCAACTTCCTGTTCAACGTTGCCTGGACGACCGTCGCCATTTCTGTGTCCATCCACCATGACTCACCTGATCGCTACGTCCTCCCCCAGGTGACCTGTCTGTCTCTCTTTCACCTGTCTCTCTCTCTCTCCCATCTGTCTGTCTCTACCTGTCTCTCCCTCTCTCCCATCTTTCTGTCTCCACTTGTCTCTCTCTCTCATTTGTCTCTCTCTCTGTCTCTACCTGTCTCTCTCTCTCACCTATCTGTCTCTCCTCTGTCTGTCTGTCTGTCTGTCTGTCTGTCTCTACAAGTCTCTCTCTTACCTGTCTGTCTCTCTGTCTCTGCCTGTCTGTCTCTCCCAGCTGTCTCTCTGTCTTAACCTGTCTCTCTCCCACCTGTCTGTTTGTCTCTACCTGTCTCTCTCTCTCTCTTGTCTCTTCCTCTCTTTCACCTGTCTCTCTCTCTCACCTGTCTGTCTCAGGACTGGTGGCGTGTCCTCCTCGTGGTCCTGGCGCTCCTGTTGACCCTGGAGGAGGTTCTGAGGGAGGTGATGGACATCCTGCGATCGAGGAAGAAGCTCCGCCTCTGGCAGCAGTGGCAGGAGCATCGTCTCCATGACGACCTGCGCTGCTCACATCCCATGTGGCCCCAGGTACGAAAACACAACAACAACAACAACAACAACACCAGTTTAACATCTGTACCTCCAGATGTGGTGATGCTGATGTTTGAGTGTTTTCTTCTGGGCTGAGAAAATTCAAACTGATGTTTTCAGCTGAATTCATTATTAAAAATCTGTGGTTATCTGGAACGCTGAAAACAGCTGATTCTCTAAGTCTGTGATAAGTTGCTGTTTTCACATGACGGAGATGAATCAGTCTGACACTGGAGGCAGAATTATAATAAATAAAATACTCACAGTTTATAACGTGAGAAGATAAACAGCAGTCAGACTCGAACAGGCTTCAGGAACACTGATGATGCTGCTGCAGAACGACCAGGAGGGGGCAGCACACGCTACACAACAGCATCAATGACAGCAGCATCAGTAGTATCAATATTATCAATATTATCAGTATAATGTGTGTGTGTTCTGTTGCAGGAGAAAGTTTTCTTGTTGGATCAGCAAAAACAGATCCACAGGATGAGAGGAAGCTACAGTCGAGACCTGTGGTATTAACACACACACACACACACACACACACACACACACACACACACACACACACACACGTCAGTTTATTTATAAAGCATTTATTTACAAATTTAAATAATAAACATTTATTCATAAAACAATAAAACAATTAAATAGAATCTGACCATTAAAATAAAACCCAACAATAAAATAAATAATAACAACAAGATAAAAAAGTAGGAAACAATTTAATAGAAAAAAACACATATTGGAAACAAAAGTAAAAAAATCAGAGCAGCTGGACTCAACACTAGGACCAGCAGCTGGATCAGCAGCTGGATCAGCAGCTGGATCAGCAGCTGAGGCCGTGATCTGATTAATTGTGTGTCAGCTGACCGTGTTCTCACTCTGTAGTGTGTTGTAACTATACTCACCTGTCGTGTGTGTGTGTGTATGTGTGTGTGTGTGTGTGTGTGTGTGTGTGTGTGCCGTCAGGAACGTTTTTGATTGGCTGGTGTACTCTCTGCTAACGGCGTCCTTCAGTGTCCACCTGGCCGACGTGATTGGTCCGTCCGTCTATCTCCACACCACCAGTCTGCGTCTGTTCTCCATCACTGTCATCTTCCTCTGGCTGCGACTCATGAAACACGTCAGAGCCTTCAGGTAGCACACACACACACACACACACACACACACACACACACACACAGACACGCACATCTGAGTACTTCCTCTACCACTGGTCAGGACAGCTGGCCTGGTTACCACGGTAACGTGTTGTCTATGGGGTGGCAATGTACACCTCAGTGGTTCAGTGGTCAGCTAACATCGCCTCACTGTTACCATGACAACAGAGGAGCTCAGGGTCACCAGGTGTCCAGACAAAGATCCTCTCTGCTGCTGAGAGGTCTCATTCTGAGTCAATTTCAGCCTCCGTCCACATTAATACAGCAGTCCTCTACACAAAAACTGAGATGACCGTTGACCTCTCTGACCTTTTCTCTGATCCATCAGTTTAAATGTGGATCTATACAGATGTTCTCAGCAGCTGTCTGGACAAAGAATAAGAGATTCACCTGTTTTCATCTTGTGTGTGCAGGTTAATGGGTCCATTCATCGTCATGCTGGGGAGCATCATCGGGGATGTGTTACGTTTCCTCTTCCTGTACGCAGAGATCTTTGTTCCCTACGCCTGCAGCTTCTGGATCATATTTGGAGGTGTGTGTGTGTGTGTGTGTGTGTGTGTGTGTGTGTGTGTGTGTTCTTACATCTGACTTCCTCCTGATCACTTCCTCTTTTTACTCTTTGTGAATAAAAAATTGTAGTTATTTTTTACGTTACTGAAGAAAACTAACGAACAGTCAGAGTTTAAGTCTCGTTATCACCTGTCTCAGGCTCCTCCTCAGTTCCCAGCATGCAGTCTGTCTCCGGCCTGCTCTACAGTCTGTACCGCATCACTCTGGTGGACGAGTACGAGTACACTGCCATGGTGACGGTGGACGGCGTCATGGCTCCTCTGCTGTGTGGGACGTTCCTGGCTGCGTCCTCCGTACTGTGTGTCAACCTGCTGATCGCCCTGCTCACCGACACCTTCCAGAGGTCAGAGGTCACACCTGGACTGACACCTTAAACTGTCCTTATACTCAGACATCTGTCCCTGGTCCACCTGGTTCATCACGGTCTATATTTATCACTCCTCACCAGGAATCACCAAGAGTTAAACACGACTGAAACCAGTTTCAGGAGTAAAACCAGTCTAGGTGTAGGACTGACGTACTGAGACGATAAATACAAACCCAGATCCAGAAAAACTGGTCCAGAAACATTTTCATGGCCAGGCTCATTGTGTTCGTGTGTGTGTGTGTGTGTGTGTGTGTGTGTGTGTGTGTGTGTGTGTGTGTGTGTGTGTGTGTGTGTGTGTGTGTCAGGGTCCATGATAACTCGCAGGCTAATGCTGTGATGCAGCAGGCTGCCGTCATCCTGCAGGTGGAGGACTCCATGCCCCTCCTCCGCCGTTTCTATGACAACCAGTACATCTCCAACCAGTGCGCGCCGCTGGCTGACGCCTACAACGATGACATCGCCACAAACCCCGGTTACCATGAAGAGATGGGACGCATCACCGCACAGATTAAAGTGCGTCTGAAGAAACGACACAAGTCCAAATGGTTTATTTGAAGTTTAGAAAGTGAAGAGGTTTGTGTGTGTTTGTGTCCTGCAGGAGACTCTGGACCAGTTCCTGGTTCTGAAGAGAGACGTGGAGACAGCTGCAGGTCCAGGGTGAGATCAGATCAGTCCAGATCAGACCATCGCTGGTAGAAAAACTAGAACCAGAGACCATTTTCTGGAGGAGATCTGAGTCACGGCGCTCCTGGTCTAACACTTACTCTTCTCTCTACCAGAGTCCAGATGGACCAGGACCTCCAGAACCACAACCAGGAGAGTAAGGACCAGCAGAACCAGGAGCTTCAGGAACAGAACATGCAGAACCAGGAGCTACAGAACCAGAACCAAGAGAATAAAGACCAGCAGAACCAGGAGCTTCAGGCCATTCGAGCAGAGTTGATGGAGCTCCGGACTCTGGTCCAGCAGTTGGTTAAGAACAGGACTGACTCGGGTTGACGGATCCAAAACCTGACTGAACATATCAGACCAGATCAGATCAGACCAGAATTCACCAGACCAGTATCCTGTTCCTCAAACATGGACTGATTTTTTGATCCTGGATGAAGTTATGAATAATAGTGCGCACTTATTTTGAAATAAAGGCAAAATGAGTGTTGTTGAAATCATGATCAGCTTGTTGGTGTGTTGGGAGCATTCCCAGCATGCAATGGGGCAACAGATTCATGAACAACAGTGTGATGTTATGTTTCCGCAGAGTTATTTATTATTTAGCTGTGTTTCTTTTGATTTGGTTGTTTTCAAATTTAGATTTCTCACTTTTTATGATTTTATTCCTTTTGATGAGGTTTTAACATTAACACTTCATAAAAAAAACTATATAGAATATTTGTGATGTTTTATTTTTGTGAATAAAATAAAATCAAACTCTGTTGACTGTAAATAAAATGAAATAAAATAAAATTTCATGTCTGAGTTCATGAAATAAGTCCCTCTCAGTCTGAATAAACTATTGAATGAATAGATAAACAATAAAATATTCTGTAATAATTCATTAATTATTTTATTTTATTTTGTTTTTTTTATTTCCTTTTTTCTGGTTGTGGTTGACGTCCACGTTTAGTGAGTAATTTTTTATTTCTATTCTCCCTTGTATTGGCGGCAAAGTTTTGTGCTGGAAGTTGCTTAAAAGTTAAAATTTAAAAAACAAATAAATAAACATCTGATCCCGCCCCCTTAGCTAATCAGCCCCGCCCCCTCAGCTGTTGATCATTTCCGGTTCTTCTTGCAGCAGCCACAGACCAGAGAGGAAAGATGGCGGCGGCCGAGTCCGACAGAGAACCACCGTCCGCTTTATGTTCGGAATTCCTCAATTTCTCCGCCAAAGACACCGCGTCGGTAAGCGGCTCCTCGAGCTGTCAGCTCCGCTAACTCTCACCTGTCCAGTCACTGCGTCAGTCTGAGCTCTCTTACCTGCTGAATGCGGGATTTAGAGGTCAATCCGCTGGGCTACACCGAGCCAGTGCTAAGGCTAATGTTAATGCTAATGCTAGCTGCAGGGAGTGATGTGTAAAACATCTGGATGTCAGATTAATGCTGGAAGAAACATCTGCTGTGCCGTTGTCAGCCCCAGCTCACCGGTTACACACCGACTGTTGATCTGACTGAATCTCATCCACACGTTTGTACCTTATGAACCCGCTTCTGAGCGTTTATTTACCGTTTCACCGTTTGTCAACATCGGAGCGGTGCTACAGCAGGTCCCGGGGCACGGTCCCGGACCGGGACACACGGTCCCAGGTCCACCGCTGATCTGTGATCTGCCGCAGCACTTTACTCTGACACCTTCTGACTCAGAGTCACACACTGACACATTTGACAGGTTCACTGATGACAAACATTACAACAAAGGTGTGGCGGTAATGCCTGCACACACACCTGTACACATACCTGAAGACCTGCACACACACACCTGTAATTCAGTCAGTCCATCCATTAGTCATGAGACAGAAATAACTGGCAGCTGTTTTGATCAATTGTTATTAAAAGAAATACATTTTCAGGTTTCTTCAGTCTTAGTCAGCTGATGACACCTGTGGGTTGTTGTTACCTTGGCTTGAAGAAGATCAGTTAGTCAAGCGCATGTTTTCTTTTGAAAGTTTTTACTTCCAGTCCCTTGTGTGCCAACTCGTTCTTATCTGTGCATACCGCAGCGACTCTATTACCTTCAACCTTGAGAAACCTTCCTGACTCAGAGTCACAATCCCACTGACACAATTTGAAACAGGTTCACTGATGACAACATTACAACAAAGGTGTGGCGTTAATGCCTGCACACACACCTGTACACATACCTGAAGAACCTGCACACACACACCTGTAAATTCAGTCAGTCCATCCATTAGTCTGAGACAGAAATAACTGGCAGCTGTTTTGATCAATTGTTATTAAAAGAAATACATTTTCAGG